AGCCTGGTGTAGGACCATGCTTCTGGTGCTATGAGATGTCTTTTTGCATGCACATACCCATCCGCTCACCACCCGTTACTCGCTCTCTGCACTGCTCTGCTCATTGCAGGTTCTTCTGTATGTGGCAGCGGTGGCTTTGCTGGCGCTCAAGCTCTCCCTCACTCTACCATGGCAGTCGCAGCTGCTGCTCTTCATCCCGTACGTGCCATGCCATAAGCGTTAAGATAAAAAAGTTTCGCAAAAGAGTGACTGACAGCTGCTGCTCTTCATCCCGTACGTGCCATGGCATGGCACTTTCCACGCTCTTGTCTCAGCAGCTAATGACTCAACACGTACCATAATTTGTACCGCTCACCATCCCTCTGTTTCTACCTCCCCTCCTCACCCCGTGACGTGCTTCTGCTGCCATCCCGATCTGCTTCTACACCCCGTGACGTGCTTCTACTCCATCATCGTTGCTCTCCTTAACCACCAGATCAGGTCTCTCCGTAGCTTGTTGCATTACTCACTAACCCTCTCTTTCACCTACCCCCCCTTCTCCCCCCCTTCCCCCCTCCCCCCTGTCCTATCCCTGCCACCAGGCCAATCTGCTACTCCATCATCGTGGCTCTCCTCAACCACCAGATCAGGTCTCTCCATCGCGACGCCCTCCCATCCTCCCCTCCTCCCTCCCTCCCTTCCCTGCGCTCCTCTTCTCTCGTCCCCTCTTATCTCACCTCCGATAAGAGCACCACACCACCACCAGCAGCACCAGCAGCATCAGCACCAGCAGCACCAGCAGTGCCCCTCCCTATTCCTCCATCCTCCACAATAGCTGCCTCGCTTTCATCACAACCCCTACAGCAACCGCTCCTTCTGCATCAGCACCAGCCAGCCTCGTCCCTTCCTCCTCCCGCTTGCTCCCTCTCTCAACCCCCCAGTCACGCACCTAGTCTAAGCACCCACGCCCCCCCTTCCTCTTCCATCCCCGACACCTCCACGTCCAAGGGAGATGGGCTCCAGAACCGCCTCGTCACTCAGGGAACAGCACTTGCTGCTGCTGCAGCAGCAACCCCGTTGCACCAGCCAAACAGCCTTCATCAGGCGTCACTACAGGCGAAGCTCTCAACGGGAGAGCCGCCAGGGGAAGGTGCAGGGGGGAGGGGAGCGAGTGAGGGCAGCAAGGCGAGGACGGGTACGATGAGTGCTGACAGCTCGGGTACTGGCACCAGCGGGGGCAGTATCAGCGCTAGCAGCAGCAGGGAAAGCACTGGCCTTGTCAGCAGCACCAGCACCAGCAGCAGCAGCGCCGGTGCCAGTGCCAGTGCCAGCACCAGCAGCAGCAGAGGTAGCAGCATGAGGAGCAGCAGCAGTGGCGCTGGCGGCTCGGGGGGTGCAGCAGCAGCAGCTGCGCTGTCTGGTTCGTCCTCGGACTTTGCGCGCTTCACTCGCATGCTGCGGCGCTGGCCCAAGCTGCTCATGCGCCTGGTGCTGGTGGAGGCGTGCATGGGCAGCTACCTCGTGGGGATCGTCCCCATCAAAGGCACCTATGTAAGTTTCTCTTCAAACTGCTCTGCTCTGCCTGTCCAACTGCTTGTAGCCTCCCCAAGCTGCTCATGCGCCTGGTGCTCGTTGAGCCGTGCATGGGCCGGGTAGCTACCTTGTGGCACCTATGCGAGTGTCTCTTTCAGTTTATCCAAGCGTTTGGAATGTGCCTGAGCTGCTGATGCACCGCGTGCTGGGAGAGGCGCCTTAAAAGTTAGTTTATCCAAGCGTTTGGAATGTGCCCGAGCTGCTGATGCGCCGCGTGCTGGGAGAGGCGTGCATGTGGAGCAGCAGTCATACTGCTGCTGGTGTGAGAGCCTGCGCTCAGCCCCGTGATAACCCCCTTGTCACCTACCCTACTGCCACATCCTCCCCTCTCCCCCTCCCCCCCCCTCCTTCCCCCCTCCCAAGGTGCACGATCAGCCGCGTGTCCTGCTGCTAGCTCCTGGCGTATGCCTTTGTAAGGCTCAGCGCTCATGCTGCTGCTGATGAAGGCGGGGTTCTCAGCTCCCTCCCTGATAAACACCAGTATCTCCTACCCTACTGCCACATCCCTCTTCCCTCCCCCCTCCCCCCTCCCCCCTCCCCCCTCCCCCCTTCCCCCTTCCGCCAGATGCATGAGCACGCCCTAATCAGCCGGGTCTCCTGCTGCTGCCTGCTCCGGGTCTCATGCCTTCACCGGGGCGCTCATGCTGCTGCTGATGAAGGAGGCGGAGCTCAGACCCCTGATACCCCCCTTCTTACCTGATGCTCTTCGTCTGCCACACCCCCCTCCCGATCCAGCTGCACGAGGACGTGCTCTTCAGCCAGGTCTCCTGCTGCCTGCTCCTGGGCTACGCCTTCGTGGGCGCGCTCGTGCTGGTGCTCGTGAAGGAGGTGGCTCAAACCGCCGAATTTCACCTTGCCTCCTGCTCTTTCGCCACATACTCCCCCTTCCTTCCTCCCTCCTCGTCCCTCAGATGCATGAGGATGTGCTCTTCAGCCGCGTCTCTTGCTGCCTACTCCTCGGCTACGCCTTCATGGGCGCGCTCATGCTGCTGCTCATGAAGGAGGCGGCGCTCAGAAGGGAGCAGCTGGACTATGTGTCGTCGCACCTGGGGTGCTGGCACCGAGTGGACGTTCCAAACTTCACTATTAGCAGGTGAGAGCAGGGCCTTTGCAGTTGCGCGTAGCGCCCTTGCGGTTGCGCCTCGCGCCTTTGGAGGTTTCTGCGCGTCTTCGAAGGGAGCAGCTGGACTATGTGTCATCGCACCTGGGGTGCTGGCACCGGGTGGCCGTTCCGAATTTTACCATCAGCCGGTGAGAGTAGCGCCTTAGTAGGTCGAAGTTTAAGAGGCGGCAGCTGGTCTGTGTGTCTTCTCACTAGGGGTGCTGGCACAGAGCGGACACACCCAACTTCACCATCAGCAGGTGCGTTGTGCACAGTTGGTTTGTTGTGACCTGTTGTCTCATGTTGATGAAAAGAGTAGCTGGACTATGTGTCGTCGCACCTGGGGTGCTGGCACCGAGTGGACGTACCCAACTTCACCATCAGCCGGTGAGAGTAGTGCCTTAGTAGGTCGAAGTTTAAGAGGCGGCAGCTGGTCTGTGTGTCTTCTCACTAGGGGTGCTGGCACAGAGCGGATGCACCCAACTTCACCATCAGCAGGTGCATGGACGTGGAGACATCTCAAGCCGTCTCAGGATGATGAAAGGTGTGGCTCTAATAAGAAGGTGTGTTTTAAGGAGGCGTCTCATAAGGAGGAGCTTAGAGTTTTTGTCATCGCAGCAGAGTGGACGTACCAGACTTCACTATCAGCATAACAACTTAGACTAACGACTTAGACTATCGCTGAGCGTTTCCCAGGAGGTGGCATCTTTGTTGCATATGGGGGGTACTGGGCTTATCTTTGTGTCTCTCTCGAAGCTCTCTCTCTCACCAGGGACGTGGCAGAGTGGAAACTTCACAATGTGCCGCACATTGAGGGCGCCATAGTTTACAGGGGGGCTGCCTATTTGCTGGGCTGGGGCTCCTAGTCTCAATGGCGATTCCTCTCCCTTCACCCCGTCTCTCCCCTTTCGTGCATATCAGGGACGTGGCAGAGTGGAACCCCCACAGTGTGCCGTACAGCGAGGGCGCGATTGTGCAGAGAGGGGGCCGCCTCTTTGTGGGCGTGGGCAGATTCAACACTGCGCAACCAGGGTCGCTCTCTGCTGCACTCCTCTTTGTAAGTCCTATTGCCCCGTTATAGCTGTGTCATTTGTGCTGTTCCGTGTCTGCAACATGACTGGATTCTGCTGTGTGCGTGATTGCGTCTTTTCTTGGCCGGTGTCTCTTCTTGCCTTGCCTCCTGTCTTGTCCTGTGTCTCTCCTTGTGCCTGCAGCTGTTACACCACCAGCCCCTGGTCTTCTCCAACTGGGTGGTCGGCACTCAGATCTGCGTCTCGGTAAGTCCCAACCTCCTGCCTCTGACCAGAAAGCAACATTGCCGATTTTTCACGCACCTCCTAAAATGCACGCAGACATGTATCTCAGTAAGCACCAACCTCCTGTGCCTACGAGCGGAATGCAATGCCACCTGCCATACATAGAAACCCCCCCTCCCCCCCCCTCCCCCCCCCACGTCTCTCCTGTACTTGCGTTTGTCTTGACACTTCCATTTTCTGTGGCGTGCCGATGGAAATACCAGGCGTCCCAGCTGCTGCTGCTGCTGGTGTGGTCGCGGTGGTGGGAGGGCTATGCAGTGATGGCGTTGGTGGGTTACCACTCGCTGCTCTTCTTCCTCTCCTGCCGCCAGCTCTGCCACGCTCAGCAGCAGACAGTGTCGGCCCAGCAGCAGCAGCGCCAGCAACACCTCATGCAGCAACCGCAGCCGCAGCCGCATTCTCAGAAGAATGGCCACAAGAGTGGGCATGGTTCCTGCAACGGTGCCGTTGGGAGCAAAGATACAGGTGTTGCATCGAAAGCACTGGGGATGAAGTCCAAGGCTGGCTTGGTGCTGTGACCTGTCACCTGCAGTGGTGGCTACACCCACAACCTAGGCTGCCCCCGAGTTCCAGGCCAGCAAGCCATCTGGTTGTAGAAAGTGTGGTTTAGTACTAGAAATGGACAATGAAACGTCCAGTCCTATAGAGGATTGGTTTTGGTTGAAGGCCTATGAATCTGTTGAAATCAGATGATGGGACAGGGTGTGGTGACCAGTTCTTTGGTAGATAATGGATGGTGTACACTGTACAACAATGCAATGCCAGACAGGCATTGATATGAAATGTTTTCACTTCGTCTCATGAACATGCTCGGCAATCCCAGAAATTTGAGTATTCGCGAACTTTGTACTCGTTACAAGCCTCGTCGAGCCCGCAGCTCGAGCAGGGGCACTGCCAGAGGCGGGAATGTGCTACAGTGAATAGTCAGATGTGCGGCGGTGATTTCCCCTTGGGATTTCCAAGTTGAAAGGTTACCTACCGCTTGTGTCCCTAGATCCCAGCATTTCCTAGATTCTAGAAGTCTGTGAGCCGTTGAGTGCATTAGTCCGAGAAAGCCGGCACTGAGTCCTGACACCAAGAGAGTTAGGCCATCAACTTTCTTCTGCCGTTGATCCCTGTTTTGCGCGTCCACGTTGTATCATCGGTGTTCATAAGAGCCCGTTTTCTTTCCGTCATCAGGTTACACATTAGGGCTGCCCGTTTTCATGTCGTCTAGTCCGTCGGGCGAGGGTTAGTCATAAGCTTAGCCGATCTGCTTCGCGGAGGGTTACAAGTACCCCAAGAACCGTCCCATTTCATGGCGCGCCGAATGCGAGGCGGCTCGACAGGATCACCAGTGCCTGGAGATCACCTGCAGAGGCTTTCTGATAAGTCCGTCAATTCCTTAGAAATGACTCTTTGTCGGCGGGTTGAGATCGCATTTTGAGATGTCCCTGTCTCAACGATCGTTAGATAGTATTCCCGCGTCTCCCGCCCGAGCGCAGAGCAGCGAAATCGTCTTCTGACGCTACGCTGACGTCAACGCCGTCCGCATTAGTATCGCAGGCATCATAACGCGTCACTAGCATCGTCAAATTCGCTAGCGACATATATATCACTACAATCACACTATCCTTCACATCGTGAAATTGCGTTAAGACTACCTCCGTCCCGCTCTGCGCCGATCAGCCATGGGGGACACGCTAGGCGCCATAGTGGAGTACTTGGAGCGCAACAACCTCCACAAAGCGGCGGAGACGCTCCGCCTAGAAATATCCCAGCGACAGTCGCCTCAAACGCAGCCGCCTCTAAAGCGGATGCCTCAGAAACAGCCCAAGTTCAAGCAGTCCTCTCCCCCCGCCTCCTCCTCCTCCTCCCCCCCTCCACCCGACCCCTCCGACATGGACGTCAATCTCTTCCTCTGGATGAAGCAGGACCAGATGTTTAATCTCGGCTCGGGGTTTCCCGGCGCAGGAGGCGGCGCTGGCAGCGGCGGGTTCGGCAGCGGGAGCGGCGGCGGCGGCGGCGGAGGCGGGTTCGCGGGGTTCAATCCGATCGCGAGGAGCAACACGGCTCCGTCGCAGTTCCTGGAAAACTCCGGCCTGCCGTGGTCCCCGGCGCACTCCCCCCCGATGGCGCACTCCCCCTCAGTCACTCCGCCGGGCCTCTCTCCGCGTGAGGCAGCAGGACAAGCAGGATCGGCTTCGGATGCTCCTAACGCGTCGAATCCGTTGGCAATCCCAGCCAGTGCGTCGGGTACGCCGCCTAAGAGCGAGCATCCGTTTTCGTCCGCGTATTTCCCCCGATCGCCCTCCCTACCGTCCCCCACTTCCCTGCACGTGGTTCACGAGGAGGAGGCCTCTCTGCACGGCGCTGCTCTTGCCGAACCCGGGGGCTCAGGTTCGGCGGCATCAGGCTCGGCGGCGGCATCAGGGTCGGCGTCACCTGCGCCGTCGGATCAGTGTGTCGGTGCAACGGGAAGGGAGACAGCGGGGAGCGGCACTTTAAAAAAGGTGGGAAGCAGTGGCACTCTGGTTCCGCTCCTCGTAGCGGATCCTATTCTGGGCCTAGCCGACTCTCCTCCTAAAGCTGCTCCAGTATTAGATATAGGACCGTCCCCTGCCGACGCCGCGCCTGTCGCTCCCGCGTTGGACAACGGTTTTCCCCGTTTGAAGCCGATTCGACTTAGTGCGGAGAGCCGCGAGGGCGTGAACCTGGTGGCGTCGCTGGACTTCGGGATTGGGTCCCTGCGGGAGAGCGACAGGGGCGCGGGGGGGAGTGACTGGGGCGCAGGGGGAAGCGCAAGAGGCAGCGGCGGGGGAAGCGCGAGAGGGAGCGCGGGGGACGGCAAAGGAGGCCGGGGAAGCGATGGGGATAAGGTAGACAGTGGTCCTGACAGGGCAGCCATGGGGGACGTGGGCGACCAGGGGGACGTGGGATTGTCAACTGAGGTGCTAGAGTTCGCGACAGTGGCTGTTTCCGCGGAGCAGAAACCAGGGGGAGCAAAGCAGCCGGCGGACGCACAAGAGCCGAGAGAGGCGGTAGCCCCTCCACAACAGCAGCAGCAGCAGCAGCAGGCGCAGGAGCACCACCAGCGGCAGGCATCAGGGGATCGTAGCCCCGCGGGCTCCTCCGCGCCTTCCTCCCCCCTCCCCCCCATCACAATCGGCCCCGTGGTCGTCGGGTCACAGGTGGTCTCAGAAGAATTCGGAAATAGACGTCCCCGGGCGGCCTTGGCAGGAGGCGGGGGCTCGGGAAACGTAATGACCTCTCTTGAGTCGACTCGCAAGTCACCCCGGGGGGTGTTGGCACGGGGCGGAGGGTCGGGAAACGTTATGGTTTTTGAGACGACTCACAGGTCGCCCCGAGGGGCTTTGGCAGGAGGAGGAGGGTCGGGAAACGTGCTGAGCCGTTCGGGGACGGCTGACGGGTCAGCATCGGTGGTTACCACGCCGACGTCAGCAGCTGGGGGGTCAGATACAGAGGAGAACGGGCGGGGGGTGGACTACTCTACCATGTTGCTGTATGAAGGGAGTGGATCGGACTCTGACGCGTATGACGACGAGGAGGATGTGGGATACGTGAGGAGATTAGTGGAGGATGAAGAGCGGTTCTTATTGTACGAGCTGGACCCAGAGTCAGACGATGAGAAGGAGAGCAGCAAAACGTCCGTGAGTGGCACGCCGTCAGTGCGTAAGGAAGAGGGTAAGGGCGAAGGGGGAAGTGTGTCGGGTGGGAGGGTATATTCTCAGAAGGTAGAACAGGGGAGTGTGTCTGGGAGGGGAGCGGAATCAGCAGATGCAGCAGCGGACGCTGTTGATGGGTCAGGGGTAAGTTGTACGGCAGGTGATGCACACGTGATGGGTGCTGGCGGCGATGTGATGTTCCCAGGCGAGGAGCACTACCATGGGAATGATGGTGGTGCAGGGAAGGCTGCCACGACTGGTGCTGGTGCTGTGGGGGGGGAAGACAAGGGGAGAGGGGTTGAGGGAGATGCGGAGAGTGGGAAAGGGCCAGGAGGTGGCGGGAGTGGGGGAGGGGATAGAAGTGGGCAGGGCGAGGGGAGGGGGAGGGAGCAAGGAGCAGAGGGGGGAATGGAGGGGAAAGTGGATGGGGGAGAAAAGAAGGGACCTAGAGGCGGGGCCGCTGAGACTGGGGCCGGTGTAATTTTACATGATGTGATTGTAGGAGGCGGGGCGAAGAGTGGTAGGAGTGAGCCAGGAGGGGGTGCAGAGGAAGGGGGGAGAGACGGACAGCAAGGGGGCGACTTGGGAGGGGCTGGATTCGGAGAAGACTTTGGAGGGTTTGGGGGGGGAGGAGGCAGGGGAGGGGCGGATGGGGGAGGGGGGCTAGACGGCGTTGGGGGAGGGGGCTTTTCTTTCCACTCACCCTCGAGTAACGAGGGGCTTTCGCGGGGTAACTCTGGGTGGTCGGGGCTGGGGGACGGCTTAGGTTCCCCGTCCCTAGACGGCAGCGGAATAGCTATGGAGGGGCTAGACCACGAGCTGGAGCGCATGGGCAGCGTGGCCGATAGCACCCTGGAGGTGTGGAAGAAGCAGGCCAGCGGGACCTTCCCCAAACTCGCACAGACAGCCTCGGGTAACTGGGATTTCGCGTCAGGGGGGAGTGGGGGGGCTGGGGGGGAGGAGCGGGATCAGGGGGGGAGAGGGGGGAGTGTGGGGGGAGGGGGAGGGGGGAGGAGGAGCGGGGGAGGGAGTGCGAGCAGTAGTGTGGCTGGGGAGCGACGGTCGAGGCTGTCTATGGAGGCAGTTGAGGTTGGGGAGGTGGGCGAGGTGGTGGGGAAGGAAGGTTCGAGGATGGAAGATTCGAGGAAGGAGGAGGAGGATGTGGGGGGGAACGTGGAGGGAAGAGAAGAGAAGAAGGAGGCGAAGCAGAAGCACGCAGGTGTGGGTCAGGCTGGGAGGGGGAAGTCTCTGGAGAAGGGAGCAGGGGAAGGGACGGCGGATGTGCAGCGAACAGAAGGAGCCGGAGGAGCAGGAGCAGGAGCAGGAGCAGGGGCGGGCGCAGGAGTCAAGGTGGGGGAGGAAGCGGGTGCGGCAGACGGTGCAGAGAAGCAGAAGGAGAAGAAGGAGGGAGAGGAGGTGGTGGAGGAGGAGGGAGGGGCTAAAGAGGAGGGGAGCAAGGCGAAGGAAGAGAGCAAGGTGAAGGAAGAGGAGGAGTTTGAGACCTTCAACCTGAGGGTCATCCACCGAAAGAACAGGTGAGACGCTCTCTGTGTATGGCCGAGCTGCTGCTGACACCATGGCCGAGCTGCTTACCCCGTCGCCGAGCTGCTGACCCCATGGCCCGTGCCCGTGCTTGAAGATCATTTTCCCACACCCCACTCCCTCCCCTCTCCTTCCCCACCTCCCCAACTCAGAACGGGTTTTGAAGAAGATAAAGACTTCCCTGTCATGCTCAACTCGGTTATCGCTGGGCGTTACTACGTCACCGAATACCTGGGCTCAGCGGCGTTCAGCAAGGCGTTCAGCAAGACGTTGAGCAAGGCGGTGAGCAACAGCAAGGGGATGGAGGCGTGCCTCGAGTTCATTCTTTCTCGCCTGCTCTTGTGCCCCGCCCCCCCCCCCCTCCTTTCCCTTCCCTCTCCACAGAACGGGTTTCGAAGAGGAGAAGGACTTTCCTGTGGTGCTGAATTCAGTTATCGCAGGTCGCTATTACGTGACTGAGTACCTGGGGTCAGCAGCATTCAGCAAGGCGATCCAAGCTCACGACCTGCACACTGGGATGGACGTGTGCCTCAAGATCATCAAGAACAATAAGGACTTCTTCGACCAGAGCCTTGACGAGATCAAGCTGCTCAAGTTCATTAATAGGCACGACCCCGCGGACGAGCACCACCTGCTGCGGATGTACGACTACTTCTATCATAGGGTGAGTGTGTTTGGCGCCTCAGTACACGTCTAACACGTAGGGTGAATGGGGGGGAGGTATGACCCCGCAGGAGGGGGGTGTGTGTTCCTCAAGATCATCAAGAACAAAAAGGAAGGACTTCTTTGACCAAAGCCTTGATGTGATCAAGCTGCTCAAGTTCGTCAACAGGCACGACCCCGCGGATGAGCACCATTTACTGCGGATGTACGACTACTTTTACCATCGGATGAGTATCCGTGTGTGTGCTGGGAGGCGACGGGGGGGGGGTGGGGGGGGGAGGGAGAGGGGAGGGGGTGTGTTGCCCTTGCATGTGTATGGGGGGGAAAGAAAATAAGGACTTCTGGATGTGATCAAGCTGCTCAAGTTCATCAATAGGCACGACCCTGCTGACGAGCACCATTTGCTGCTGCAGATGTACGACTACTTTTACCATTGGGTGGGTGATTGAGTGTGTCTGTCTGCAGTTGTGTAAGGTAGGCTTCTTCGACCAGAGGCTGATGAGATCAAGCTGCTCAAGTTTATTAACCAGCACGACCCCGCGGATGTGCACCACCTGCTCGGATGTATGACTACTTTTACCATCGGATGCGTGGAAGCAAGGGTGGTCATGTGGGGGTAAGTGTAGGGAATGTGGTGGTTGAGAGTGGGGAGGGGAAGGAATATTCACTCCCCTAGGAGCGTTTGCTGTTCGTTTGTTTTCTCCCCCGCCTACTCACTGGAGCATATGAGCATTTTTTAGAATTCTGAAAAACCCCCGCCCACTCACCGGAGCATATGTGCAGAATCTGCAAGATCTGACGCACCAATCTGCTCGCGCTCACTCAGCTCGTCTCGCTTCCGCCGTCCCCCTCACTCCACTCACCCTCCCTCCCCCTCTCTCCCTCCTGCCAGGAGCATCTGTTCATAATATGCGAGCTGCTGCCTGCCAACCTGTACGAGTTCCACAGAGCCCTCCTCCACACCCTCCCGCCATCCCCGCCCCTTGCGCCCCACTTCCATTTCCCCCTCTGACAGGAGCATCTGTTTATAATATGCGAGTTGCTGCGTGCCAACCTGTACGAGTTCCACAAGTACAACCGGGAATCAGGAGGGGAGGTCTACTTTACCATGCCCCGCATCCAGGTGAGAAGCTTAGCGTAGCCTAGCTTTGGTAGATGAAAGAAAGAAAGTCCACTTCGATAAGAGCGACCTGCAAAGCTTCTTTACCCCTTCCGCTTTCCCTTCCCCTCCCTCCCAGCCGCTCATTAGTCCATCGCTCGCCAGAGTCTAGATGCCCTGCGGTTCAATGCGGTTCATGCACTCCCTGGCGCTCACCCTCTGCCCTCGGGAGCATCCCTGGCTGCACGTGCGAGAACATCCTCATCAAGAGCTGCTTGCACGGCCCCTCCCTCCTTCCTTCCCCCGCCTGTTCCCCCCACGTTCAACAGTCCATTGCCAAACAGATCCTGCAGGCGCTCAGCTTCATGCACTCCTGGGGGCTCATCCACTGCGACCTCAAGCCCGAGAACATCCTCATCAAGAGCTACTCGCGCTGCCTCGTTAAGGTGATCGACATCGGCAGCAGCTGCTTCACCACGGACCACCTGTGCTCCTACGTGCAGTCGCGCTCCTATAGGGCGCCTGAAGTGATTCTTGGACTGCCGTATGGGCCCAAGATCGACGTCTGGTCGCTTGGATGCATTCTGGCTGAACTCTGTTCCGGACAGGTGAGGGGGGTGGGTGGGAGGGAAGGGGGGGAAAGCGTGAGCAAGGAAGGGCGAGTGTATATGACGTTTTGCGGACACGTTCACGCACACATACACATAAGCGCACAGACGTTCACACAAGCACCCCTTTCTCTTTCACCGCCATCCTCTTCTTCCCACAAGGAGCTCTTCCAAAACGATTCCCTGGCAACCCTGCTGGCGCGGGTGGTGGGCATCGTAGGACCCATCGACCAATGCAGCAACCAACACACGCGCACAAGCACACCTTCAAGCCCACGCCCACCCCTTCGTCCCCTCTCCTTCCCCTCCAGGTGCTGTTTCAAAACGACTCCCTGGCAACCCTGCTGACGCGGGTGGTGGGTGTCATAGGACCCATCGACCCCCAGCTGCTACGCAAAGCTAAAGATACCCACAAGTACTTCACGCGCCACCGAGTGCTGTACGAGAGAAACCCAGTGAGTTAGTGCCTTGTAATGGCGTGTGTGACTATTCCACGTAAAGGCTGGGTGTGATTATTGCAGGGGCCACTGAATCTGCCTGTAGAGTGCTTTCCTTATGTGCACTCCACTTAACCTCGCAACTTGTCCCCCCCTGTCCGTGCTACACCACAGGAAACGGGCAATGGGGTATAGAGTTGAAATAACATGCGTCCTGTGGGCCCTCATCTCCCCTGTCCCCCCTCGCCCGTGCTACACCCCAGGAGACGGATGCTTTGGAGTACCTTATTCCCAAAAAGTCATCTCTCAAGCACCGACTGCCGATGGGAGACGAAGGCTTTCTTGAGTTTGTGGCGTTCCTGCTACAGGTAGACCCGGACAAGAGACCGTCTGCAGATGAAGCCCTTCTACACCCATGGCTGTCGCATGCGTATGATCCGATCATATGAGACCAATCTTGAGCGATGGAACTTATGTGTTGGACTGGAACGCGCCAAGAGGTTATGTTGTAATCTCTAAGTGATGAGGTTGTGCTTTTATAACTGGCACTGTGTGCACGTAGTGCTATTATTGAGAGTATGTTGCGCTCAGTAGGTATTGTCATGTTTCTTATCAAATTTTCCTGTAACGGGTATCAAGTTCACCTTCTTGTTCACTTCTGTCCTGTGTCAGTCTGCCGAAAAATTTCCCCTCCCTCCCTCGACCACTTGCTTTTCCCACCAAACCATGGCCGCCGCCTTTCGAGTCGCAGTCACCCCAACCTCAGGGTCCTTCCCATCCCCGGCTTCGAATTGAATTCACCTCGGCAATTCAATTCAATTCCTTGTCCTTATTCACCTCACCGAGTCACGTGAACCCCGTGTCGAACCTCCCACCAAGGCGCGTATAACATTCTCCGCGCGTATTTGTGATCCGTTAGCGTCCGTTTCGTCGTGTCGCCAAGCCTTCCTGCCTAAACCAAAACCGTGCGCCTCGCGAAAACAACCTCGAATCGATCTTTCGCATTCGACGACAGGAATCCACCGCTATGTTGAGTGACCCGCTGGGGTTGCCCTTGAGATCCTCGGGGAAGGGCCACAGGTGCAGAGCCTGGGGGGCTATGGGCGCACTTACCCGCTATTCAATAAGCCCTTTTAACCCAGTGGTTAGTGACTGGGTTTCTGACATGGTATCAGAGCCAAAAGGTCTTGGGTTCAACTCCCAGTGCCAGCGCTGCAGAGGCGCTCGTGTCTTCCACCTATCCCAGCGGGGGGGGGGGGTGTTGAGTGACCCGCTGGGGTTGCCCTTGAGATCCTCGGGGAAGGGCCACAGGTGCAGAGCCTGGGGGGCTATGGGCGCACTTACCCGCTATTCAATAAGCCCTTTTAACCCAGTGGTTAGTGACTGGGTTTCTGACACGCTAGTGGCACCTCGGTTCTTAGGAAACCACCAAAGTGCACCGCCATTGGCACCGCCAGTGACAATTGAACGAATGGTCCTCCTAACTAGGCTTTCTGCGAGCGAGCCACCCAACCTGCGTCCCACTGGGAGTCCCGGCCATCCCTCCCGCCGTGCTGAGCTGACCAAGCTCACTCGGCAAGTCGTCACCCATCGCGTGCTGGGAGTCGCTCTTTCCAACTCTCGTTCTTAGCTTTCAGCTTCTTTCGCGGTCTTCCCTCCGCTCCTAGTTCCGCCTTCCCTCCCTCGCCTTGTTCTCAGAGCTTCGCTGTAACGCATGGCCTCTGCACAGTACGCGGGCCTAGAAACGACCTTCCCAACCGCTTTCCACAAATCGGCTACCTGTGCTAGGTAGCGCGAAATGGGAAGGAAGGGTTGGGAGGGGAGGATTGGGATTGGTCGACACTTGGGACCAATCAGATTTTAGTTGTACAAATTGAGTTGGCGAAATTCCCAACTCACGCGATGGTTGGATTTACGACCAATCAGAACCAGGGAGCTGGTTGGCAGTGCCAACTCAATTCGAATATTCTTATGCTGTGCACTATATGCTAATCTGAATATATTGCTGTAAACCTCTCATTGGTTGGAAATCCAACCCCATTGCCACATAAGCTAGCTCACTTCCTTGGAGCCATGGAGGAGGTTGAGCAGCTGCTGGGAGTCATTGAAAGGGGTCTGAGCTGAGAAGCTCATTCTCAACTTCTCATTCCAAGAATTCAATCTTGAAATGAGATTTTTCTCTAAGTCATGAGCTCTCCTCACAAGCTTCTCACACTAGTGGCTTCTAGTGAGATCTCCTAGGGGAAGCCCTACCCAACCAAAGTCTCAAGCACTTTCTTCAAGGGCCTTCCTCAAGCTTAAGCTATCTCTTAGAGGAGGTTCCTCCTAAATACTACGCTAGGGGGTCGTTAGTTGATTTTGTACTCCATTTTATATCATAGGATCTTGGATGTTGGGTTTGGACTTCAACCCTTGTTGCCCATGATATAAGGGCAAGGGTTGTTACATTTGGTATTCAGAGCTACGTTAATCTTAAGCCTTGTGGGATTTTTCTTGATCTTTTTTTTTTTGAGGGATGATTGGCTTTCAATCCAAGACATTGGAGTGAAGATTTCAAGATATCTCAAGCTTCTCCAAGTCATTTTGAAGAGCTTCTTCAAGATCTTCATCAATTCCTCCACTTCTCAAGACAATTTTCCAGCACAACCTCTTCTCCTATCTCCACCATTCAAGATTTGAAGAGAGAACATTTTCTCTCTTACCCACCTTGTTGGTGGAAGACTCCCTTGAGGAGTGTGGCTCAGATCTGCGATCTGTTGCAAGATCTAGTTTAGATCTTGCCCTAGCATTGAGGTGCTAGGGATTGGGCAATAGATTGTATTTCTTGTAATTTCTCTTATTAAGTTATTCTGTTAAGAGATCTCTTTATAGAGATTGTCTTGCCCTCTCACTGTAGTGATTGGGACTTGAACAGATTTCTTAAGAGATTTTAAATAACATTTCAGATATGTTGAGATATCTTCCTTGTTTTACCATGACTTCGAGTCAAGTTTTGGAGAACTTGGAAAGGGAGGAGCCTAATGTGACTCCTGAGGGAGCCAACCTTGCTGCTAGTAATAACCAACAGCAAGATGAGGCCATGGCTGATATTGAATTGGTGGACCTAAATTTGGAGAATGAGGGAAATGAAGAGCATGGAGAAACAGAAGGGATTGATGGAGCAGAGGGGGAGGATGATGGCATCGAGGAATGGTCGCTCTCCGATGATGTGGCTAAACTCCAAGCACAAGTCTCGGAGCAGCAGCTTATAATCAATCAACATAAGGGACACATCAACTCCCTCAATATTGCTTTGGCGACACAAAAGACCGACACGACTAGGCTGCAAGCCGATCTCAATATGGCATATGGAGAGGTACGGGATCACAAGCGTCTGCTACATAACAGGGGCAATCAAATCCAGGCCCTGGAGAAAACGTGCGACCAGCTGCAAGCTGCTATCACCCAACTGCAGACTACAACTGCCCAGCTGCAATCTACAATCGCCCCGATGCAACCTGCTATTGCCCACCTGCAGAACCAGTACCGGGATATTCGGCGGGGTCCTATCTACCAACACTCACCCGCTACTGCTGGCCCATCGGGCACCCAATCCAACCCACCGCCAGTTGCATCTCCTTCAACTGCAGCACCTCAGCAGCCTGTCCAGCCCATGGCAACGCCTTTTGGCTCGCTCCCCACTGCGCTCCCAAAATTCATCCATGGCAAGACGGATGTTGAGAACTGGGTGACGACTGTAGATGAAATGCTGACTCTCCACAACGTGCGCACCAACGCTCGTGTCACCGCCGTCTCTGGTGCGTTGGATGAGCATGCTAGCCAAACCATGTTTGCTAGCCGGAAACAGCTCGAAGCAAGTGGAAAGTTTTTCACTTGGGACGAGTTCTGTGCTGCAATGAAAGCGGCTTTTCTTGTCAAGACAACTGACATGGAGGTGCGTCGCCGCCTTGAAAACATCAAGTGTGGCGATCGCTCAGTGCAAAAATATGCACAAGAGTTTGAGGGCGTTCTGCGACTGATGGGCAAGCAGCTGTCTGAGAATGAAGTTATGTATATCTTCTTCTAGAATTTGCCCCAGTCCCTGCAGGATAAGCATGTCGCAAATGGCCTCAACAAATGGAGCACCTACAAGGAGCTCAAAGAGGCGGTTCAAGCAACGGACGAGACTGTTCGTATGCTAGCAACGCCTTCCACCGACGAGCCTGAGTCGAGGACTCAGGCGAGGGGTGATGGTAGCAATGGTGGTGGTGGCCAGTGGAATTCCAAGGGGAAGGGCCATGGGTACAAGAGGCCCTTCCACCAGAATGGTAACCAGCAGCGTCCTCCGGCTAAGAGGGCGAATGGTGGCGATTACAAAGGGCCGCCAAAGGACTTCTCTAATGTCGTCTGCCGAGGGTGTGGCCGCCGTGGCCACATAGAATTTCAGTGCCGCTATAGGAATATCATAAAGCATAGTGGTAAGCCTAAGGGCAACAACAATGGCGGCGAAGGACCTTCTGGCAGTAAGAAGGATTTTCAGAAGTCCAACTAGGGTGTGGGTACCTAGTTGGGCAGATAGATCGAGGGGATGAGGCATATGCTTTATGTGACGATGATTTACTAAAGCTAGAGAAGCTTGCTGAATGCAAAATCTCTTATTTGTTTGCCTCTTCTTTTAATAAAAAGTCAATGTTTGCACCTCGATCGTACCCACTTGATACTATATCCATCGAAGCGTTACGAGATAAATTCTCAGTCGTTTACTGTGGCCTGGAAACATTGCCTTCTGTACTCGATGTTGTGAGTCGTTGTACTCAAGAGCACCCCCTGACTGCGGTCGCCGTGGTGACTCGTACAGTAAAGGGCGAAACGTTCAAATCGCTTCGTGGATGGATTGTGCTGGCGTCTTGGGACAAGGGACACCACGTGTGGTAGACCAAATCTGAATCCTTTGGACGAGCTCGCCACAATATCAAGGTGTACTACAAACCCTCGTCGAACATTGTGGCATGCCCCATCCGTCCAATGCATCAACAAAATCTACTCCTTTCGGGTCGCGTTAACGGACATAACGCGAAAATCCTTGTCGATACAGGTGCCACTGTTTCCCTCCTTGATGAAAAGTGGGTCACACCGCTTGGGGTCCTCGTTGAAGGACCGTCATGTCCCATTCGTCTTGGGGACAATAGTCTTATCCCAAGCAAAGGACGGACATTGATCGACATGAAAATCCAAGGCTATAGCGAAAAGATTCGCACTTACGTTCTCCCCTTGCTTGCGGGTGTCGATGTAGTCTTGGGAATGGATTGGTTACGTGCAAATGAGGTTATTTTGGATTTCCAGGATAACACAGTTTCTTTCACCAAGAATGGTGAACCAATCCAGTGGCAGGTGTCTGTCGACACAACCATCCCGGTGGTTCAAATTAAGTGCAGACGTGTGCTTTGCTCTTGCATGTCAATTCGGACAACATTACCGCGTTGCTAACACACTTTTCGTCGTACAGCTCGAGGAAGCTGGAACCCCAACGCCCGACATTGAGGATTTTCCACCTCAAATGAAGGTACTGGCGGATGAGTTTAAGGAGGTCTTTGAGTCTATTCCAGACGGACTCCCTCCTAACCGCGCCGTGGGCCACACCATCCCTGTGGAGCCTGGAAAGCTCC